GATCCACCGGGGGTTTCCAGCGGGATCCCCACGGGATCCACCCTTCCCCGGGGGATCTGGGAGGGATTTTGGGGGATCCTCTCCTTTTTTCCCCAGGGGATCCACTCTCAATTCCTGCTGGGATCCCCTTTCCAGGAGATCTGGGCTTGTGGGATCCCCCTTTCCCCAGGGGATCCACTCGATTCCTACAGGATCCCTTTTCCCAGCATGGTTCCCATTTCCAGGGGGATCCACCGGGGATTCCAGGCGGGATCTGCCCTCGATTCCCGAGGGATCCACCAGGATCGATCCCAGCGGGACCCCCCAGGATGGATCCCAGTGGGATCCCTCAGGATGGATCCCAGCAGGATTCCCACTCCCAGGATCCCTGGGCTCCCAAATCCTGGCGTAGATCCCAGCAGATCCCCATGAATTCCAGGGGGATCCCAGTGGATCCAACGGGATCACCACTCCTGGGATCCCCTGGCACCGATCCCAGCAGGATTCCCATCCTTGGGATCCCCTGGTGTTGATCCCAGCGGGATTCCCATTCCTGGGATCCCTGAGATTTAGATCCCAACTTGATTCCGATTCACGGGGTCCTTGGGATCCACTGCTGCCAGGCCCAGCAGATTCCCGCTGATTCCAGGGGGATCCCAGCGGATCCAGCAGGATCCTCACTCCCAGTAGATCCCTGGGATCCCAGGTCTCATTGTCAGTCCCAGCAGATCCACGTTTATCCCAGGGAGTTCCCAGTGGATCCCTGTCCCAGTGGATCCCAGGATTCCCATTCTCAGTCTCAGTCCCAGCAGATTCCCGCTGATTCCCGGAGTTCCCAGTGGATCGGCCGGCCCAGACCTGCAGGTTTGGGGGAAAAAGGGGGGTTTTGGGGAAAAATTGAGGATGTGGGGGGAAAAATGGGATTTTGGGGGAAAAAATGGGGGGATTTTGGGAAAAATTGGGGGATTTTTGAGGGAAAAAAATGGGATTTGGGGGGGAAAATGGGGAGAATTTGGGGGAAATGGAAGATTTGGAGAAAAAAAAAGGGGGGATTTTGGGGGAAAATTGGGATATTTTGGGGAAAATGGGGAGAATTTGGGGGGAAACGGGGTGATTTTGGGGGAAAACGGGGGGATTTGGGAGGAAATGGGAAGATTTGGGGGGGAAATGGGAGTTTTTGGGGGAAAAGGGGAGATTTAGGATCCTCCCCCTCTCCCAAAAAGGGAAACGTGGGATCAGGGAGGGGAAATTTGGGATCCAGGAAGGGAATTTTGGGGTCCAGGAGGGAAAACTTGGGATCTGGGAGAGGAATTTTGGGATCCAGGAAGGGGAACTGGGGATCCATGAGGGGAAGTTTGGGATCCATCAGTGAACACTGGGATGCATCAGGGAAATCTCGGGATCCACCAGAGAACCCCAGGATCCACTGAGAAACCCTGGGATCCATCAGGGAACCTCAGGATCCATCAAGGAACCCTGGGATCCACTGAGGAACCCTGGGATCCACCAGGGAACCTCAGGATCCATCAGGGAACCTTGGAATCCACCAAGAAACCTTGGAATCCACCAGGGAAACCTGGGATCCACCAAGGAACCTCAGGATCCATCAGGGAACCCTGGGATCCACTGAGGAACCCCAGGATCCATTGAGGAAACCCAGGATCCATTGGGGAACCCTGGGATCCACCAGGGAACCCTGGGATCCACCAGGGAACCCCGAGATCCATCAAAGAACCTCAGAATCCATCAAGGAACCCCGGGATCCACCAGGGAACCCCAAGATCCACTTGAGAACCCCAGAATCCACCGAGAAACCCCGTGATCGACTGAGGACCCCCGGGATCCACCCGGGATCCACCGGGGCTCCCCCGGGCGTACCTGGAGCGGGCGGCAGGCGCAGGATCTGGCGGCCGCGGGCCGCGGCGCCCTTGGGCAGCGAGATCACGTACTGGCCCTCGGCCTCGGCCGTCACCCGGCGCCGCTTGGGCGGCAGCGCCGGCGCCGCGGGAGCCGATCCGCCTGCCGCGGGAGAGGGAGCCAGGGAGCGCGGGATCCCGGGGATCCGGGGGGATCTGCTGCTCTCTGATTGGTTTGGGGTGATCCCAGCTCCTCCCACCCCCTCTGGATTGATCCCAGCCCCTCCCTGACCCCTGGACATGGGGAAGGGATCCAGGGGGATCCGGGGGGATCCCGGGGGATCTGGGGGGATCTGCTCCTCTCTGATTGGTTTGGGTGCCCTCCCTGATCCTTCTGGATCCATCCCACCCCCCCAGATCGATCCCAGCCCCTCCCTGATGTCTGGACACAGCAAAGGGATCCACAGGGATCCGGGGGGATCCGAGGGGGATCTGCTGCTCTCTGATTGGTTTGGGGTGATCTCAGCCCCTCCCAACCCCCCTGGATTGATCCCAGCCCCTCCCTGACCCCTGGACATGGGAAAGGGATCCTGAGAGATCCCAGGGGGATCTGGGGGGATCTGCTGCTCTCTGATTGGCTTGGGGTGATCTCAGCTCCTCCCAACCCCTCTGGATCGATCCCAGCTCCTCAATGTCTGGACAAGGGAAAGGGATCCAGGGGATCCAAGGGGATCTGGCGGGATCCAAGGGGGATCTGCTCCTCTCTGATTGGTTTGGGGTGATCTCAGCTCCCTCTGGATCACTCGATCCCCATCCCCCTGCCCTCCCCCAGGCTCTCCAGCCCCACAGTGGATCCCTGAGGGATTCCTGAGCTCTGAGGGGATAATTTTGGGTGAGAAAAGCCCCATTGGGGGACCCCAGATTCTCAGTGGATCCCTGAGGGATCCCAGGATATTTCGGGTGACCCCGTCCCCCCAGTGGATCCCCCACCCCTCCTTACCGGCCTTGGCGGCCCCGTTGGGGACGGTGACGGAGATGCCGGCGCCGGGCGGCTTCCGGGGGGCGCGGGGGGCGGGGTCCCGGCTCAGGCTGTTGGTGATCATCCTGCCGGCGGCGCCGCCGGGATCCCGGTGGTGATCCCGGTGGTGATCCCGATCGTGATCCCGCTGATCCCGGTCACGATCCTGCTGATCCTGCTGGGATCCCGCAGCAGCCTCGGGCTGCAGCGCCTCCGAGGCCGCCCGGCACATTTCCTGCGGGGGATCCACCGGGAACGGGGAGGTTCTGGGGGGTCCCGGATCCCGGCGGATCCCGGCGGGTGCCGGCGGATCGCGGGGGATCCCGTACCTATCAGGGAACCTTGGAATCCACCAAGAAACCTTGGAATCCACCAGGGAAACCTGGGATCCACCAAGGAACCTCAGGATCCATCAGGGAACCCTGGGATCCACTGAGGAACCCCAGGATCCATTGAGGAAACCCAGGATCCATTGGGGAACCCTGGGATCCACCAGGGAACCCTGGGATCCACCAGGGAACCCCGAGATCCATCAAAGAACCTCAGAATCCATCAAGGAACCCCGGGATCCACCAGGGAACCCCAAGATCCACTTGAGAACCCCAGAATCCACCGAGAAACCCCGTGATCGACTGAGGACCCCCGGGATCCACCCGGGATCCACCGGGGCTCCCCCGGGCGTACCTGGAGCGGGCGGCAGGCGCA